TGGACCCATGATGCAGACCGAGATGAGATGAACTTAAAATGTATTTACAACAAACAACTAAGAACACAAACGCTGACGTGACAGCAGGCTAGAAAATTGTAACAGAGAAACTCAGCAGATAACAGAAAGCAGGAACCAAGATGACTGAGCAAACATGAACTGAAGAACAAGAACTGGCAAGGAGAGGGGACAAGTGGACCTGAGCTGGGGAGGAACTGGACCAGGTGAGTGGGCGTGGCAACACTACAGAACAGGAGTAAAAAGTGAACCGACTGATCAGGTAAGAAACAGGACAAGTAACTGAACATCTGAATAAGACAGAAAACAAGACACGAGAAAAGGAAACATGAGAACAAAAACCTGATCAGCTGAAACCTACAAGCTGATCAGGAACTGAACTTAGCGAAACTAAATAATCTGGAAATAAGAACATAAGTAGCAGAACTCATACAACACAAACCTAATAGAGACATATAGGACATAATAAACACAAAGGGAATAAATGTACAAACAAACTCCAGGAAATACTAGAGTAATTGAAGCGCACATCCCGGGACTGTGAACACGGTGGTGGAGTGGTGATGATGTGGGCTTGTTTTGCAGCCATGGGACCTCCGCACCCATTGAGTTGACCATGAACTCCTCTGTGGACATTTTTTAACATGAGATGGAACCAAAGCGTGTCAGGAGACAGAACAAAGACACCAAACACTGCAGCTTATTTAAGAAGCATTAAGTGTAGAACCACTGGACTGAGGAACAGCTTCTACCCTGAGGCTGTTGGACTAATGAATATCTAACCAGAATAATCACAGTGAAAATCACATCATGTTGCTGCTGATCTGTTTCTTGTTGCTGCTGATCTGTTTCTTGTTGCTGCTGATCTGTTTCATGCTGCTGTATTCATGCGTGCTCATCTTCTCACACAGACTCATGTTCGTGCTGCTGTTCGACGTAATGTTTTTATGCTATGAGTGCTTAGTGTATAATTAGTTGATGTTTTTCTTAGTTCATATCTTAGATGTTATTATTGTTTTTCTTTTACATTTTATTATTGGGTGTAACTGGGACCCCGTGTACATAATTTTGTTCAACCACATGTGGTGCGAATGACAAATAAAGAAACTCTGACTCTGAACTCTCTCTGACTAATTTCAGCTTGTTATGCTTCTTTCAGCTTTTTTCTGCTAGTTTCAGATTCTTCTGCTATTTCAGCTACTATTTAGCTGTTTTTATACAAATTTTAGCTTTTCAACTCATTCCACATTTTTTAAATCTGATTTCAGCTCTTCAATTCAGTTCAGTTCTATTTCGATTCAGTATATTTATATAGCGCCAAGTCACAACAGAAGTCATCGCAGAGCACTGAACAGAAACTTCATATATAAAAATAATAATTTAACATTATTTATTTGAGGAGCAGACTGCTTTGAATTTAACTCCATCACAGACTCATCTTGAGCATGAAGGTGACAGTGGAAAGAAAAACTCCCTCATGAGGAAGAAACCTTTAGCAGAACCAGACTCAGGACAAGTGGTCATCTGCTTCGACCAGCTGGGTTTGAGAGGAACAGATACACAATGGCAGGTGAAGAATCACATTAAGATAGAAATAACCTCAAATGAAAACTACTTTACCAATTAATTTAAGAAATTGAGCTCAGTTTGTCCTCCAGTAATCTTAAGACAGCATGACAAGCCAACACTAATGATAGGATTTATCAAAAAAGCTCTTTCTGCTTCCTTCTCGTAGGCTAAGCCTCTTTCTGCTTTTTCTGCTACTTTTTAGATGTTGCTTTTTTGTTTCTAATTTTAGATTTTTTTTAGCTTATTTCCTAATTTTTTATATTAATTTCTGCTTATTTAAACGTAATTCAGCAAATATGTGTTCTTTCTACTTTCTTCTGCTAATTTAGGCTTGTTCTTCCATTTCAGCTATATTCAGCATGATTTTAGCTAATTTCGGCTGTTTTTCAGCAAGTTCTTCTGCGATAAACAGTCACACTGCATTTTCGCAGGAAATGCAATGTCTCTAGTTTTATTTTTACAATATTATGTCCTTGTATGTAAAACTCTAAAATTGAAAAGTAGTGCACTTTCTTTTTTTCAGAGACTTCACATTTGTGGTCTCCTCACGTGAACATCCTTATATCAGCTAAAATGTAAATGCGCCTCCAATAATCTTTGACTGACATACTGTGTAGATTTTCTCATTATACACAAACATGAAGCCATTACTGTGTTTTAAAAATAAAATCCTAATTTAGCGTCAAACTACACCCTGCCTATAACCTCTATCAGCTGAGCACATGCTGTAAAATGGCAAAGGGCAGATATCGGTGTATGTCGAAGACCTCCGGCTATTGTTCAAATCTTCATTAGCTGACAGCAAATCATTTCAACTCATGCATACTTCTACAGCTTCCTAAATTACAGCTTATCTTGAGAAAATTACATTAAACACATCCTCATTGGATCAAAAACATCTTACTTATTCATCTTTATTCCCACGAAGCCTCGGTGAAACAAAACACTCCAGATTATTTGTGTTTACAATGTACTTGTTAATAACGTTGCACGTCAGTAGTTTCTCCATTTCGCGCACCTTTAATTCAACAGTTTATTGCCTTCAGCTGCTAATTTTACCAGGACTTAATCAGGTTTTAGGGAAAGGAACTGTGTATGTGTGGACGGATAAGGAATTCTTTGCAAGTAATTATGACAAAAATATATATATCTGGCTCAAATTGCCCAGTGAACCTAAATATAATGATACAAAACCAGTGGCGATGGAGTAGTTGTTTAATAGAGGCCATTCATTGAGACGCAGCGCCGGTAGCAACACCTTTATGTATTCAGCAACAACGTAATATGTGCATTGACTTTTCGGGCCTGACTGGTGCCCTGCATTCTGTTTAGCCGCCTTGAAGCACTTTATGCTAAGTTAATTTACCCAAATATATCTGTGGCATCACGGCAAACAGCAGCCACCTTAGCTACTCAACATCAACAACTTTGTTAATGGAAACTTGCTGATCCATAAACGCTTGTGCCGCCGCAGACGTTTGCTGGGGGGCAGCTCGCACGTGAATGCGGCAAAAAAACAAACAAAAAAAAAGAAAACTGCCGCTCGACGAGGGGCATTTGCAAAGGAGGCATAAGGTGTGTTTAATTATAACTGCGTCAGGGGTTTGTGGGGGCGCACGCCTGGTTGGGGGAGGTGTTGCTGTTTAAGCTGGAGGAAGGGGCCATGGTATTTAAATAGGGTCACTTCTAGGCCTCACCTTGCAAGTGTTATGCTATATTAAATGCCACTCATGTTAAGTGTGTTGAAACCTTTCTCTCATGTAGTCAAGACATAATATAAAGGGTAAATTGAAAAATGTCCCTTCAACAGCGCAGGAACATGCCATGATTGATCTCCTGTGTACGGGAAAGAAATGTTACGCAGACCTCTGCTTGGTTAGGCCTCTTTAAAGAGACTTTAATACAATATGCTGTAATAAGTAGCAGCTGCGTTAGAATTTAAGTGTCAGTCAATCAGGCCTTTAAAAGGTCAATGAAAAAGAAATTAGCAAAATGTGAGCTAAAATTGAATTCCAGCAGAACGAGTCTATTTTGCAAAAGCATTTTGTGAATTAAATACAGATGTTACTAATAACATTAAAGAAGTGTGTTCAGATAAACGCACCGAGAATCACTGTTTGTCCAGCTAGCATGCTAGTTGCAAATAGTGCATTATTTTAGTACAGGTTAGGTTAATTGTTTACAGATATTTAACTCTAATCTAACTATGAGAAACACTGTTTAACATTTAAAATGATGCATGTACAAATGGTAAAAACGCACTTCTGATTTGGGTGCACAAAACCATTAAAAATGCTCAATTCTCAGTCAGTTAGCATAGATTAGCTTGCTATAACTTGATTTTACTGGGATACATTTGACCAAAAGATGTACATATATAAAAAGTGAATTTTCTTTAATTGGGTGTTATTGAATCATTTATCAGCCAAGTGGAAAGTGCTTTTATTCTACTTCTGGTTTTGACTTTTTCTTTATTTTTTTTTATTTTTCAGCAAAATCAGATAATCTGTTTGTTGGTGCAGAAAAAGAAGTGACAATCAGAAAATGAATAAATAAGCAAAAATAATAAACCATTAAAAGCATTATATTAGGACTTTAATGAGATTTGTTTTTCTAATGCAGCCTGTGTAGTTTTTTTGCTGAACACCTTAAAATAAAAGAAACGTCCGATTGTGTTGTGAACAAAACACAAGCAAAGTTACAAACTCAAAACTCCCTCTGAAATCAAATTTATGCTTTTAGATATGGACATAAAATACATTTTGGGACATTTTTTGTGAGAAAACTTGTGTGACACATTTAAACTTTTGTTTGTGTTTACAAGGTTTGAAAAATTCACGTGTCTGAGACTAATGTCCATGTCATGGTTAAAATTTTGTCTTTATATTTGCTTATTTTATTAAAGTTACTCAGTTTATGGAAAAAAATAGATAACAGTTTTAAATTTAAGGTACAAATGTATTTTTTTTCTTTAATGAAGAAATTATTAAACATCTGAAACAATCAACTTTTAATCATTTTAACTATTTTTCTGTGCTTATTGATTCTTTTAAATTATTTTTGGCACATCATAAAATCAGTTCTGTTCAGCAGTCACAGCTGTGCTCAGGATTTTTGCATAAATACATATCCAGTATAGTTTAAATGTCAGAACAAGACACTGCACAAAAGGTAGAACAACACATAGTTTCCTTACTGAGCTGTTTTTGGCTCTCAGTTTATTTGTTCAATGAATTTCTGATGCTTTTTAAAGTCACTTCGTCCGTTTCAGACCTGAGAGACGGTCTGTCTTTTTCTTTAGATACGCTCGAGTTATGGAAAGTACCTTCAGTGGAGTTCTTTTCTTTAAATCTTCTCATATTTCCTGGTTTAACCATAGAGAAGAAACATGGTCAGTTTGTGATTGTCTCTTTTCAAAGAGCCCATAAGTGCAGGTTCAGGTGTTGAGGCTCCAGAACATGAGCGGGCCCCGCTGTAGGCAGCATATGGACCGGGCCGTGAGCAGAGCTGAACCCAGACAGACGAGGATCTGGGGTAGACAGGATGTAGTCAATGCTGAACTTGATCTCTGACTCTGGTTTCCTCTGCTGGTTAGAGTTAGGGATCAGGTGGTTTTGTCTGGGGCTGGACCTCGGCCTCTCAGGGGTCAAGCGGCAGAGAGGGGATTCGAGTTCAGGCCGGTGAGACGAGGTCACTTGCTGGTTTCTGTGGCTCTCCATGGGAGGAAAAGAGGACTCTGCTGAATCACGGAGGCCGATTTTCATATTCCTCCTCCGTCTGCGTCGCCGAAAGTTGCCGTTTTCAAACAGGTCGAGCATGGATTCACATCCTGTGGCAAAAGTCCAGTAGTTTCCCTTCCCCTTCTCGTTGCCCTCTGTCCGTGGAACCTGCGAGAACAGAAAATACTCACAGTAGATGCTTATACTTTTCATGATAAAACCAATAATCTCCTAATAGGTGTATCAGGCTTCTACTTTTCCAAATCTCAGAAAATAAAGATGGCCAAAAAAAAAAAAAAAAAAGGTTTTAGCAAAGTCATGATAAAAATAGTTGATTCTCTCATGTCTACCTTGATGAAACAGCTGTTGAGAGACAGGTTGTGTCTGATGGAGTTCTGCCAGGCCCTCTGGTTGGATCGGTAGTACGGGAACCTCTTCATGATGAACTCATAGATGCCCGACAGAGTGACCCGCTGCTCCGGGCTCTGCTGGATGGCCATGGCTATCAGGGCGATGTAGCTGACAAAAGATGAAGTTCAGGAATAAAGGCTCACATTCCATTTGGGTCCAAGTGTTTTACTCTTTATTATTTATTCATTTATTATTACCGTTTTACTTTTATTAATAAGGGTTATTCGGCGGTCCCTATAAGCCTCTTTTAACAATAATTAACAATGATTTTATAAAAGTTTAACCGGAAGAGATTTGTTTAAAAAATTGAATAAAAGATGTTGATTTAAAAAAAAAAAAAAGTTCATTAGATAGAAGTGTGGCAACTCAGTTCCTATGCTAATTAAATTGATTTTGTATGTTTCTTTAAAAAAATAAAAATAAAAAAAATAATGAAAACTAACAAAAAAAAAATAAAAACAATGTTTGAAGATGTTGGTGAAGATGGTCTTAAAATTTAGAATTTTATTCTGTTTCAAACATCGATGTGTGGTCACGTCATTTCGTGTTAAATACTTAAATTACAGTGACAGTTGTAAAAAAAAAAAAAAAGAAAATACAACAGTTTTGGCCTTTTATTCTGTTTTAGTAGTAGCAATGACTAGATTTACTCAGATTTTTTCTCCAGTAGGAGAAAGATGTTAATTGAACTGGATTATCATCTTGGTCACCGATTGATAAATTGATAAAACTCATAAAGAATCAAACCAAATAAAAATATGAGCAGATCTGGTAAAAGCGTTTCACACACCTGTATGCGGGGCGACACATTTTCTTGTCCTCATCAGTGCTAGAAGACGGGTATCCGTCCCCGTCGTAGTTGAAGCAGTTGAAGGGATAGTGAGAGTTGTCAAACATGTCTGCTCTTTGACCCGGCAGATGTGCAGTCTGAACTGTTCTGGCTCCTCTGAGTGGCCCGGCTACAGTCCAGAAGCAGCAGCGCTCTGTCCTGCAGCTCGGCTCTGCTTCATGCTCCTGACACCAAGTCCAAAGCCTCTGCAGACGATGCCCCCACCCCCTTAACTCCCCCCTCCTTGTCCCAGCTGCAGGTCTCACAGCTCCTGGAGCTCGTCCCACATTATGTCTTTCACAACCCACAAATAAATCACATTTTATCCCCAAGTGTTTAATTTTCTTTGCATGTTTTTCTTATTCAAAAATCGTAAATAATAGCTTTAAAAAAAAAAACAGAAAAAAAAAAAAAAAATATATATATATATATATATATATATATATATATTAAAAAAACTAAAGACAAATAGTGTTAACTGACTTTTTATGTACCGGTATATGAATGTTTCTGTTCAGTGCCCTATGACTTCTGTTGTGACTTGACGCTATATAAATAAACTGAATAGAATCTGATGAATACAAATGATCCATTATTGTACAATTTAAAAACTATTTAAATTTACACACAAACTTTAACATATAGGAAAACAAAATGAGTCTTTTCTTGAACCTGGCTGCAGCACCTTAAAGCTGTTTTAGGTCCTAACAATATAACTTTTATACTGTGTGTGTGTGTATTGGTAATGATCAGATTGTTTATGAATCAAAATTATATTTTTAATTTCACATTTTTTTCTGAACATTGTCCACTTGTTTAAGGTTCAGTGCCTGCCTCTCTCACTGAACCACTTCTTTTAGCAAACTCTGGCTCCTAAACGGCTAATTTCAGTCTTTATTAGCTCCCTGTGGAGCAACAGAAACCTTCCCCTCCAACAATCATCAATTTTATTTTTGTGCAGCATGGATGAACTTTTATATTTCAAAAAGAGTTTTACTTTAAAACAACTGGAGCTTTAAAACATGCAGCTTTGACAGATGTGGTCTCATTAAAAAGCTGGAAACTTTCACTCAGCTTGTCAGAATATTTTTTGAAAGCTGACAAGTGAATGTTAAAGGTATTTATTAGAAAGTCATAAAAACCAGTAAAAAAACTATTAAGTATTTAAACTTGCACATTTTTCCTTTCACATTTATAGTTAATTTTACTTACAAGTTAATTATTTGTATGTAAGCTGACATTACTGATAACAGGTCAACAATGACAATAACCATAAAAGGGCCGTTTGTGATGGTGAAGTCCGACAGTTTTACTGTATTGTTGCCTTGTTTATATTTAGTGTATACCCATATTTCATGGTATATTACCGTATTTTTGTCAGTATAAGTTGCACCTTTTTGCATAAATTTGCACGTCCTGTGACTTATAAACTGAAGTGACATATTTGTTTTTTTCTCCATACTTATAACCAATTTTTGGCTGAGATCTGACGATTTCATTCATTCTGACATGGAAAATATTGAACACTACCATTTTCAGCCACTAGAGGGTCCTTGAGCAATATGGCAAGCCAAGTGTCTCATTAATCGGTATAAGTGGCTATTAATGAAACACTTGGCTTGCCATAGACCTTCGTCTCGCTCCAGAACTCCTGGAGCAAACGTCAAATCAGCTGCATTTCGCCACACCGCCCTGGAGAAATGCAGCTAATATGACTGTTGAAGTACATTTATTAAGGAAAAGTTAAACTGAGACACACCTTTTCTATCAAGTCGAGCAAACAAATAATTGTTTTTAAGTGTTTATCTTGTTAAATTCTTGTTAAAGTCCTCTCGTGCATGCTCCCAGTTGATTTTTGGCACAACGCTGTTTCCAGGTGGTCAACGGTGACACAAAACAAACGTGACGTAGCAGTGGTGACGCATAACAGATGCGACTTATACGGCAAAGCGACTTATTTATGTTTTTTCCACTTTATTAGACATATTTGGACTGATGTAACTTATACGGTGAAGCGACTCATTTATGTTTTTCCACTTTATTAGACATATTTGGACT